GAGAGAGAGAGAGAATGCATTTATATTTACATGAATTACATAACATAATAATTTATAAATGATATACCTATGATACAGTTGAGGATAGTTGTGGATATGGTTAAATGCATTTTTTTTATATTGGAATTTTTATTAACATTTTCTCAGAGGCGTACAGAAATGTGAAGAAGCAACAAAAAAAAAAGCGATATTTTTTATTTCAAATACACAGATATCTTATTATCTTTTATTTCTTTCTTTTCAAGATAAAATTAATTATATTTTGATACTATATTATTGATTTACTTTGGGCCATATCCAATGCATCATTTTATTCACAATAAGAAAATATTATTGAATATTAAATATCATTATTTTACTTTATCTTTTATCTATTTTTTTCTTGTGCTTTTTTTTAAACACATAACATTCTAAAATTTACATGACCCAATCTCGCAACAAATTATTGCTTTCTATTATAATTAACAAATTGTTTAACAGAATATGTCATATCTTTTTATATCTACATAAATCTACATAAATTTTTCACTGAATATATCACAATATTGTGATTAGGCTTATTTTTTATACATATTATTAGAAAATTATGGACATTTTGTTTTTATTCAAATTAAATGATTTCGCGTTACTTTTTTCATTGGTGCATATAATATAATAAAATATGAATAATTCATACAATGTTATTTACCGCTCTTAACTATAAATGATTAAATAAATTCATAACAGTTACTCCTAATAAGAAGAAATATAGAAATTGCGTTATATACATACCAATGTATTAAGAAAATATCGAAAATACGTAACGAACGTATGATAAATACTATTTTATTTTCCAAATTTTCAACTTAAAACCAAGTTCTATTAAATGTAGTTATTAAATAAATTCATATTTCTCATTTTCTTATCAAACAAATGTACTTTACAAGTTATTAACATATCTATACAAATTAAAATACTGCATTCATTTGCCATTACAATTTCCATTAATAATTATTTTTTAGGAATCTGCAAGCCCTATCACTTTACATGAGACAGATGGGTACACAAAATATTGTATTATTTTTATTGTATTCAAAACAAATCATTTCAAATAATTATAGAAATATTAATAGTTTCTTTTTAATTCTTTGATATTATTTGAAAATTTACATATATTATTCATTCTCAAATAGTGTGCACTTTATTATTATTGTTATTATTATTTATTATTATTATTATTATTATTACGTAGCAAATCCTACTATTTTTTTTTTGTTTTATCTAAGGGTCTTTCAAAGCTTTACATCAGTCGATAAATAATACTAAAATAGCGTTGGAAAAATACCACGTACCCATCCACCTGAACTCTACATATTCTTATTTGCTACACTTTTATAAATCTTACAATTTTCTAAAATTATACTGCACTCTCAAAAATATATATCGTAACTGCATTAATTCGCGAATCTTTGTTTCTCCATATTCTTATTCTCTTTTATTCTTCTTCAATTTCCATTCGTTTACTCATCATTAAAAGCTTCCTTTAGAAGCTATACACTATTTTTATATACATGTATAGTTGTCCGAAATAATACCTGTGGTAATTCTAAACTCTTTTTGAACACGTCTCTCTCAAAAAAAAGGATATCATTCTTTTCTTTTTTATTCTTTTTTCCATCCAAAGCTTTTCTTCAAAATTTTTCCCAGAGAAGATTCTAGAATGTACACTTTGCGAAGGCATAAAATAGTTTAACTGGAAAATCGATTCACAGCAAGATTAGTTTAAAGACGGAATGTCATTAGTTTACATTCATCAAGTTAATTCAACAATATAGAGGTAAATGTTAACGATCCATAGTTGTTAACATATCCATATATATGTTGGCTGCGATCGCTTGTACTTAACATTCGTCATGAGACTAGCTCATCGTTATGATATTCTTCGCTATCCTAAATGTGTATATATATATATATATATATTTTTATGTATATATATATTAAATATGAAGTATTTTTTATTCATCTTTGAAAGGCAAGCACTATGTCAGCTCTGACACGGCATTCTGACTGATCAGCAATTTATAACAAAGGAGCTTTTTTTTTATTTCATATCCACACTCGCTATATGTATGAAATTACAGCAATATTTCGGTGTGATTTGTTCTTCTATTTTTTTCTTTTTTATGCTATTTTTTTTCTTTTTTTTGTGTGTATTTTCTTTTATAATCTCTGGACAATGTTTTTCTCTACGAATATATTACTATTGCAACTTAAATAATTAAAATATTTTTAAAGTTATAATTATTTCACGTAATTCTATGGACGATAATTATTAACGAAATTATAAACATCCCTAAATTTATTCTAAACAGAGATGTTCCAGAATGCATCGTTTCTACTTTATTTTTCAATGACAACGGTCCACCGTCGTCACTTTGCATATTAGATATATCCGATTTTTTCGGTGGTATGATCATGTTCTCATCGTGATCTTCGTTATCATCTATATTATGATCACGATGAATATCTTTATTCATATTTTGAGAAATTGTGGTAGTAGTAGTAGTGCTCGGTTCCGTTGTTGGTGGCGCGGTGGTTGTAGGAACTAAACTGTAATTTCCAAGGAAATAGATAGATCCAAATTCGGGTTTTACATCATATATTGTTTGTTCGCTGCGTATACCGTTTATCACACGAGATTTTGTCTCTCCATCTTCGTAATGCGAAATTAAGGTTCCAGAATAGGGTACTTCCATATCGATACAATAACCCTTTAGAGTAACGTTTATTCCTGTACCGGGTTCGAGGATTATTTCTACCCTGTTTTAAATAAATATTAATACATTAAATGAATATAATATAAATTATATTTATATAATGATAATAATTAAAGATATCCTCATGACATAAAATAATTTTTTGAATCAAATAAAGTATTATTTAAGAGCTGTCAATAATTAGTTGTATAAAAAAATTATTTATTATTTCTCATATACTTTAATTGATTTATTTTGAATGATGAACAGAAAATACTCACGTGTATGCATCAGTACGAGTACTAGTTTCCTTTATGCCCCACATTATTTGTGGCAAAGTCGTTTCATTCATCAATATAATTGATGTGTTTAGGCCTTTTAGAATGGCGTGACCTTGACCCCAGTACATAGAATAATTATACGTATAAGTGAAAGCTTTTGCCATTTTCGCAGCTTCCGGCCCATTATTGACGATCGTCGCGTTATCAAATATACAAGGATTACTTGACATTTTGGTCACTCGTTTTTTAGGCCAACTTAATTTAACCATCGTCAAATTATAATAGATAGGTTCCGTTTCGACCAGAACGTCACCACTCTTTGCGATTCCTTCTGTACCATCCTAATGGAAAAAATATAATGTTTTTTTAATCATTTTTTATTAAAAAATAAATATAAATATATATAGTTCAATTATTTGAATTTTTATTTTATAATATATACAATATTGAAATGCAATTCATTTTAAAATAATATTAACTCTCTAACTAAAACAACAAATTTCTTTTAATTTAAAATAAATATATTAATCAATTACGTGACCGATAAATGAAATCAGTTCACTCGTCCATCATTTACATGCAAGATTACTCTTCAACCATATTTTCCTGCTCTACTCTTCATCCTATGTCAATCCTTTCCTGTTTTATGTATTGAATAAATGTTTCAATTTTAACGTATAAAACGTATAATAAAAATATATACAAATTAACAAACAAAAATTTTGAAATTGCTATTGCAGTTCGAATATAAATCACTGCTACTCGGATCGCAAAGGGTTTAATTCACCGCAAATCTTAAAACCCGGTTGCAATACCCCGTTTTCATCCAATCTCTGGCTGAAAACCAACCCGTAAACGCTTCTCAACCGCAACTTCACATCTGAAAAGGGACACCTTCCCTCTCCTGTTTCTCGTTTCAATCCCCTCTCCATTAACAAATCTCGATTACAGACATTGCAATTTCCACCATTCCAAGCAAGCATCGTATCCAAAAGAGGAGGCTAACCCCCACTAACCAACCCTCAGTCTGTTTTTATTCCATGATACGAATGGCTTAATCCCTCTTACCACTTTACAAACACTAAACTCAAGCATTGCAATCTCAACAACAAACATCCTTCTTCCGAAAAAAGAAAGAAAGAAAGAGAAAAGAAGAGAGAGAGAGAGAGATACCATGTGTTCCATGTTGCGGTGCATAAACCGCGTAGCAATTACTTACATCTTTCACGTAGCTGATACTCTCTAGAATGTTGTCGTTGGTAGTCAAGGTGCCGATATAATGGGTATATCTCACTGCCGATGTGTTCTTGGGGGTTCCGGCTAGGTGCCGGGCGACGAACATCTTCTCCGTGGCTACAGCTCCCAACGGAGTGGGTTTGTATTTGTCCAAGTACTCCCAGTTGATGCGTGCTGCATTGTTCACGTTCTCGAGCAAGTCGTATTTATCATACGACTGCACGGTACCGTGCATCGTCACGGTGCATCGTTGCTCGTCACCCCTTTGGGCACCAGCCACCCAGACAGTCGTGTGCAATACTCTGCATACGTACAGAGGTACTCTTTTTTCTGATTTGTCTGCTTGATTGTTGAACGAGTCGTCTGCGGAAAGAAAGAAAGAAAGAAAAGAAAAAAAATAAATGTCGACGGATTTTTATCGAAAGAGACGGGAACTCTGGATATTTTTATCCAACCAAGGGGGGGGGGGATGGAGGAGATGAGAATTGTATATTCAAGATATTGTCAAGAGAGAATAAACCGTCTGGGCCAGATGTATAGGCGAGAAAAGTTAATTCATGGACTCTTTTGAAGATGTTGCTTCGAGGCGATGCTTAACGGCAATTAGTGGGAACGGGAAATTAACGCGAGCTTGTGCAACCGTGTCCGTTTTCCGGGTGTAAATGTTGCGCTCCTGGTATACATTACCATTCACAAGTGGTGGCACTTGCTTGATTTTGATTTAAGGATATCTTAATTGATGAGATTGTCATGAACGGTGATAAATATTTGTTTATAATAAAATATTATAGCTTTTAAACACAAGTTTCTTCGAACTTACATTTCTTTTAAATATTTCGAAAGGATTTTTTATTTTTTTTTTTTTTTCAATTTCTATTATAAAATCTGAAGGATAAAGATATTAAAAAACAAGAATGTTTAATCAAATTTGAATAAATAATTGATTAAAGTTTTAAAAGATTTATGATAATTATATGATAAATTAATTTATTTTAATGCATTTTATATTTCAATGCTTTTTCATAACAAAAATTATGTTTTCTCCCCTAATTCGACATACCTTCCGGTTTTTCGATCTCGAAACCACCAATAACTATTCCTTGGAGCGATCATAATGGGTGCGGGGCAGCCAGTTCAGGGTGGTCGAAGTGATCAATTGGTACTTTGACAGGATGTGCACGCTGTTGTCTGCATTCGTCAGCAATAGAAGAACACCGAATAATCCCACAGCGAGGAAGACCCTTTGCCAAGACATCTGCAATTTTAACGTTTTGCCATTGTGAATGAGAAGAAAGAAAAAAAAGAAAAAGAAAAAAAAAAAGAAAAGAGAAGAAGTAAAAATGAAGAGAGTAATTTTTTGTGCGAATTCGCAAAATCCACATGCCGCAAGTTGAAGAGTGTGTTCATATCTAATCCAGGAAAGGGTTGAACACATGGTGAACGAAGGAGACGAGCTCTAATGAGATCGTTATTATGATACAGCAAGCTAATTTAGAGGTAATTTGAGATAATAAGGCTCAGCTTGCACCGTAGAAAAAAAATATCAGCAAATTTAACATCGTATGCGTTATTAGCTTTTTTAACCTGTGTATATTGTCAGTGAATTGAAGCTTCATCGTTTTCTTCGAGGATATTCTTAACATTGCGTGGAATTAATTTTTATTCGGATAGTTTTGGGGATTTGCAAAAGTAAAGTTTGTAACAATATTTAAAATATTCTAAAAATAAGAATATTTTTAGATAAACGAAGATTTTTCATTCTATTGATTTGCATAATTGGTAATATTTCTGTCTTAAAGAAAATATTAAGTAAAGGGTAAAATTCTTGAGAATTGCTCTAATTTCTTCATTTTATTATCATTTGCCATACTTTAAGGCAATGTATATTTCTTCCTTTTTCTTATCGCTATTTTTCTTTTTTCAACTGAACATAATTGTTTTCTGAACAAAGCGATCTATCATCATTTGCTTTTTTTTTTATATAATGCATGGTGTTCTCAAAAATCAGTCAAGTTTCCAATTTTTAAATACAATGTTACGCAACGTTTCAACGTTCTGACGTGTTTTATGGCGACCTTAACTTTTGTAACAGTAATACCTTGCCTCTTTGCGATTATGTTTCTGCTTACAGAGCGTATCTTTAACACAGCTCGCGTATAACTGGATCTCCTACTTCGCCTCGTGTGTTTTCGCTTCAGTTAATGGCAAGAAAACGAAACGAACACGCGAATATTTCTAAAGTGTCCTGTGATCGAGCCAAAATATTTTCTCATTGCCATATTGTATTCGTGGTCAATTCTTTTTATTTTATCAATTTCCTGTTTTTGAATTCTTACATATTCATATACATATTATTCATGGAGAACATTTCTTTGGAAGCTCTCAGTTTAAGGATTGAAACTTCATTTTGTAACAATTTTGTTACAAAAAGTTAATAATATCGATAGAAATTTAAAAAAAATTCAAGAATTTACAATAAAATGTTTCAAATTCTCTCTGAAAAATGGTAACAGTTTTAAATTCTTTGAGGAAAAATTAAAAACATCAAACAACAGTCTTTAAAAGGAAATCGAATATAATAAGATTTTCAGTTGTAAAAAGATAATAATATATACATAGATTTTTAATAAATTCTTAGTTATTTAAAATTTTTAAATAAATTAAGAATATCCAATAAAACTTAAGAAGGAAAAAAAAATTATAATTTTATAATAAAATATTTAATTGTAAAAAAGCAAACAACAGATTAAAATTTATAGTATACTTTATATATATAAATATATTGTTGGAAAAACGAATCTTGAATATTTTTCTTCGGTCAGTGGAAATTTTACCTTCAAGCTATACTGCATGGAACATGTTAATATATGATTTCCTGTGTTTTTTAAGACTCTTTTTATAAGGAAATTTTATATTTAACAGTTTCTAGATAATATTATATAATTGGACGATCCAAAGTTATTATGTTAATAATAGATAAACGTTGAAAAAGAAGAGATTTTTCTTGAAATCAGTCCACAATAATTTGGAGCACTTGATTTTTTATTTTTCGATAGACTCTATCTCACTGTTAGATTTATAAATTTAAAACATATTCAAATTACATTAATATTGAATATTAAAATATTAAAATTTTAAAACTTGTCCGAATTCTTTGCGATTTTATAAAATAATTGATCCATAATTATTTTGAATAAATATAACGAAGAAGATCATTTTTTCTCGTCTTATAAAAGAAATTATAATTTTTGTCTGTCAAAATTTTCTATAAACTTTATCGATCATGCTCATCACGCATTCACAGTCAATGATGTAACGGAAGTCACAGCTTTATCCATCATTAACGGAGATTCATAAAATGATATAATATCGAGTTGGGAAAAAAAAAAAAAAAAAAAAAGAAAAGGTTCGGTCGTAAAAATGTTAGTCTGGAAGGAAGCATGAACGCACTAGTTTCCTTTCAAGGTGTACCTGGTACATATATATCTTCAATATACATAGAAGTTACTGTAACGGTTCCGTGGCATATCCGTTTACGTGATAATACACTTATTTTATAACGCTCGTGCCCCACTGCGTACAATTCTTTGCTTTTTCATTTTAGAATCTCGCTTGACTGACTTCTAATGTTATCTGTGAACATGGACTAGTTTAGTAAATCTTACTAACTTTTTTTTATGCGATATTTAATATTATTTTATTGCGGCCAATTTAATACGAAATGGGAAAATTCTAACATGATTATGAGGGAAGTTTAGAGAAATTTTATTTTTTAAAGGATTTAATTAAATGTTTGATAAGTAAATTAATTTTTTTTAAAACTATTTGAGCTATTCGTCTTCTGGGTTATTGATCTGTTGACCCGTGACTCATATTTTCGAGTCATAGAGAACAGTTAGATTGTGTTATTTAATTTTATTAATCATTATAACTTTTCCTATAAAATATACGTAGAATTATATTATTTAAATATATATTATTTTGATTAAATAATTATGAATATTTAAATTTTTAATTATACATTAAAATAAAAATAAAATCGAAATTATTTTGATACGATATTAATAGTAAAGTAGATTAAAGAAATAAGAGAATTTTAAATATTTTTTTTCAAACGATTTATATTATATATATTAAAAAAAAAAAATCAGCAAGTACGTATAGACTTGAAAGACTTGGTTGTCGATTTTTGGGATAACTCCAAATTGTAAGGAGGGCTGTTCCATAATCTAGTTTGGCGAGTAAAATAGATTAGGGTTCACAAAGAGAGGTGGATGCTCTTTGTTCCATTGCGTAAAAAGCTGAACAAAAGCGTGACGTTGTAGCTAGAGGGAACAAAAGAGCATCTGTGTTTTTCGTTCCAAGTGATCCTGAATCGCGACTGGGATCAATTTCATTTAAGAAATGATGCAATTTTATGCGGCAAAGTGCTCGGCATTTAAACACTCAATTTAAAGATCTTGCATTCACTTTGAAATAAAGAATTCAAATCGAATCTTTTTAAACTTTTGTTTTAAACAAATATTTCGAAACATTCGTTCAATTATAATTATAAATTTGATCCATTTAGAAAAAATTTATACTATATATTTATATTACATTATATTTATTATATTTATATTATATTTATTATTATATTTATATTATATATTGATTTTCAAATCATGATATATATTTCCATTTATATGAAGTTCGTTTATCTTGCGATGACAAAAAAAGACTTATAATTGTATGTTTTTTTTTATAAAAATTACTTTAGAACTTATCAAGTTTCAAAAGAATTAATTTATTTGAGCAAACTACAATTACGTAAATTAATTTCAAAGATGGAAATTTCCAAATACACTATCCGATAATTAAATTCTATTCTCATGAATCCTGAAACTTCGTTAATCCTTTTAAATTGATCCTAGACACGTGATTCTTCGATTCATTTAATTATATGATTTGTACATATATACAATATCTTATTTTCAACTTTATCTTATTTTATTTCATCTTATTTTTTTCTTATTGACATTTTAGTTATATCGCAAATTCAATGAAATCTCATTAATCGTTAACAATATCGATAGTTACAATTTTAACCCGCGCTATGGATTAAAAATCACGTGGTATCATGTTCCATCCTGTTTACTTAAAATATTCTATTTAACATTTCCCAAAATATGTTGCATGTGTTTGAAGTTTCACTTTTTTTTTACCTTTTTAAGCAAAGTTAGAAAGTTTGAAACGAACTTTGTAAAGGAACAAGGCACAAAGAAAATGATAAAAGACCTATCGACTACTAAAGATGGCAGTATTTTATTTCGTATTTGTATTGATGTGATCGTAGGTAGGTAGCGTGGAATACCCTATACTATATCCTTGTTTACCCATAGTTTAACAAAACGTTTCCGTTCTGCTCCACGATTCCCGCGGATGCATCGGCATTGTTGGTGCTTTCGATCGAACGATCGAAAAAGGGCTCTCTGACCTGGTGGATATATCGCTTATTGTGCGTTCCTACGTGGAACGCTAGACCCGGTGATGGTCGGTCGAGCATGTTGAACGACCAAGCAATAAAATTCCCCACCTTGTTCTCCCTAAATCGAAATGAGAATACCTCAAAAGAATCGACTCAAAAGAAATCGTTTTTCGTATAAATTGATCGTATTGAATTGAAGTTATGATCGTTAAATCGATATTTCCTTGTTTTTTTTTTTCCAATTTTTCAATTATTCTGTGACTCATTTCTATGCAATCTGTCTGTATGTAATGAGTTTTTATAGAGATAATAGTCAAGAGATAATAATTTTCTTTTTATTTTCAATAAGTATTTTAAATTCAATAATGTGTAAAAAAAGATTGTTGGGTTTCCCTAATTAATATCAGAAATGTTGGTTTTTATTTTATTTTCTGATTAATTATATTTATACAGAAATAATTTGCTAATATTGTATTATGATTTTTATCAGTAATCCATTGTATATATTTATAATTCAAAAATATTCAATATTATTCTGCGATTCTTTATTAACCATGCTTTAATTAACGCATGCTTTCATTTTTTTCATTATTTTATAAATTTACAGTAAGTATTTAAAAGATTGATTATTGGTATTAAAATTATTTTGCCATTTTGTTTTCTATTTTTCTTTCTGTCTTTTCTTTTTAATTTGTCTTAATAATTTTTAAAAATGTATAATCTTAGATTATTAATCTTAATTCGAATTCTTAGATTTCGATACATTATGGATCAGCTGTGAGAATTTC